CCTCTTCTTTGTGGCAGCCCCTGAGATATTGGAACATTGCTATCATGTCTCCCCTAGTCCTTTTCATTAAACTAGACATACTGCAACCATTCCTCATATGTTCTAGCCTCCAGTCCCCTAATCATCTTGGTTGCTCTTCTCTGCACTCTTTTCTAGAGTCTCCACATCTTTTCTACATCATGGCGACCCAAACTGGATAGAGTATTCCTAGTGTGGCCTTACCAGGGCATTATAAAGTGGTATTAACACTTTAGGAAAGGAAACACTTTAAAGAAAGTCCCAGTCTGAAATTGGTAGGGGGCTATGCGGTGGGATTCTACCGGTTCTGGCGAACTGGTAGCTCCGACGATCAAATGGGAGCAAACCAGTTTCCTCCGACAATCAAGTGGGCCTGCCTGCTTGTCCCTGAGTTTTATTGACCTTTATCTTCTCAGCCGAGTGGTGCAATGAAGTAGATTGCTGCGTCTCCAGTTTTCCTCCCCAGCAGTAATGCGGAAGGTAAGTCTTCTCAAAACTGCACACGTGCGCGTAGCAAACCAGTTACTGGTGGGATCCCACCCCTGGCTATACAGGAAGTAGATCCACATGGCCTCTCTAGAGTAGGCTATTTGTGCAGTATCTTGGGATATTGCTGGACTGTGATGGCAAACCTATGGCACGTGTGCCCGAAGTAGCACCTGGAGCCACATCAGCTGGCAGGCATGGCGTCGCCTGTTCCTCTTCCATATTTCTGCCGCATGTGTGCGCAATGATCAGCTGTTTTTTGTGGCAGTGCCAGAAACCAGAAGAGCTGTTCTTTTGATTTCCATTGTGCGCATGCCAGCTGATTGTCGCACATGCATGCATGCCAGTAATGAGAAAACTGGCTGATGCACATGCGTGTGCCGGAAACTGGACGTTCATTTCCCAACATGCGCCGGCCCACTTGGCAGCTTCTCTTTCAGGGCACATTCCTGACGAGTGCACATGCACACAATCCCTTTTCGGCACTCAGTGCCAAAAAGGTTCGCCATCATTTTCTAAGCCCCATGACCCAGGGCAGTGCATCTGATAATTACCGTATTTTTCAGAGTATAAGACGCAGATTTCCCCCCTCAAAAAAGAGGCTGAAAGTCTGGGTGTGTCTTATACATTGAATACAGCATTTTTTTGCCTCCCGAAACCCCATCCCCTTCAGCAAAATAGCCATGCATAGCCTTTAGGAGGCTTTCAGAGTGCTTTTGTGGGCTCGGGAAAGCAGAAATGAGCAAAAAAACAGGTTGATTTGTGCCCCTCCAGCCCCCAGAAGCACCCTATAAGCCCCCTAAAGGCTATGCATGCCCTTTTTTTTTTGACAAAAAATGGGTTGTTTTTTGCTCATGTTTGGGTCCTCACATCCCCTAGGTGCATTCTACAAGACTCCTAAAGGCTGTTCATGCCTTTTTTTAGAAAAAAAAATGGGCCAGTTTTCACAAAAAACAGGTTGTTTTTGGGAGGCCTGCAGAGTGCAAAAACGTCCCTCTTCAAAATCTTGGTGCGTCTTATACTCCAAAAAATACGGTAGTGCTTCCTGGCATGCACAACCTTCAGAGATCCACATACCAGGTAAAGGGAAAGCAGGCATGCAGAAAGACAGCAAAAGAGACACCTGCTCTGATTAGTCCATGGAGAGGAAGGGCACATAATACAGAGTGATAGTTAAATAGAAACTCCATCACTGACCTCAGCTGCATTCCAAGCAGAGGTTTCAAGTTCTTGCTACTCTTAACAGGAAAAAAGATCTGAAGGCAATAAATACCTAAATATCATTTCATATCCCATCCTTACTCCAAAGCAGCAAAACTTTATTGATAATGGGCTGCATTGAAAGCTTTCTGAAATCAGCCAATATGAGCTTTGGGAGACTTCAGCATTCCCCGGGCGTTGGTAGAATTTCCAGCAACTATAAACCACTCAGGTATTTATTACCAGTGGATTCCACTCAGTCCATGAAGAGATCTTTGCAGGCACATTTTAAGGTTTTATTTCCAGTGTGTAGCTATTACAATCTTTAACCACCACCACCACCCTGCCATATGTTCATATACCCTACTCGGTGGGATTTACCCAGTTCGCACCACTTTGGGAGAACCAGTTGTTAACTTTCTGAGCAGTTGGGTGAACTAGTTGTTGGAGGAAATCATTAGGGAAGAGAACCGGTTGTTAAATTATTTGAATCCCACCACTGACGGCACTTATGTAGAAATTGTACTGTGTCCCTCTGAATGCCTTTGAAGGTGCAAGAAGAAAGCATCCTTACTAAAATGAAAACAAAATAGGTCTAAAGAAGGCAAAAGTTGTAATGTTTTAAAAAAAATCTTGGGAAAGCAAACATGTTCTGAGCCATCTGCTCAACTGTGAAGGGGCCTCTTTCCATTCCGGTCGAAATTTATTCTGTAATATTGGGATTAATCAATGCTGAAGGGAAACATTTAGAAGGGAGAGTAGCGTATCAAATGTTGCTGCATTGCAATAAATATTCCCACCTAGAGGCATTTGCAAAGGAAGTTTTGTTGGCGGGGTTTGAAATTTGTACAGGGATATTAAGGCCCTTTGTGGATGGATGAAAATGGGACCTGCCTCTCAGAAGACCCTACTTGCTATTCTAACAGGGATGGGAAAGGTCCTTAGTGCTCTCTGAAGTTGTTTTCTTGCAGACATTTCATTACTCAAACTGGGTCACATCATCAGTGCTAGTGATGAGAGGTCACTCTGCACTTGAGCAAGCACCTGGTCACCACAAAAGTGCACAAATATATTTAAGACTGCAAATCACAACTACCAGTTCTTTAACTGTTGTTACCTTCATACACATCAAACCCTTCCCAAGAACATGGGATGTCGTGATGGCGAACGGCCATGTGGAAACATTGCTCTCGTGTGCACCCACTTGTCAGGGCCACTCTCCAGAGAAGCCGAACTTCTAGGTTCTAATGCGCCCGCGCGCCCGATAAGCTGGCTGGCGTGCATGCGCACCCCAGTTTTCAGCACTGCTGTGTGCGCAAAGGGATCACGCTCCAGAAAAGCCGAACTTCCAGGTCCTGGCGCATATGAAAACCCAACAATCAGCTTGTGCATGCTGGTTTTTGGCAGTGCTGTACAGGTGAAGGATAGCTGATCATCGCATGCACATGCATGTCAGAAACCCAGAAGACAAACAGACAAGGCTGCCCGTGCCAGGAGACATGGCTCTGGCTGCCATTTTGGGCACATGTGCCATAGATTCAACCTCATGGTCCTATCGGCATAAGATTCATTGCACGCTAGAAACAAGAATTGTTCATTTAAACATTATTTTATTTATACTGGAAATCTACCTCTCAAAAATAATTAAAAGATGGCGATTGTTTTCATTAGCTCGACTTCTTAGTTAACAAAGTGATAGCATTTATTTTATTTGAGGCAACATCTAGGCAACACCTTTGCTAAATTAAACAACAAGAGATTTCTATTTGATTACAATTGGTTCATTACAGAAATGGCCTCTCCAACCAAATACTGCTTATGGGATTTGATAATCATCTAAAGTTTTGTTTTTTTTAAGTAAGAAAACAGGTAAGGCACTGCCAATGACACAAAATCCTAAATATTTGGCTTTGGATCAGCCCTACTTTTCAAACAGATCCTTCCACCTGGGTTTGTCCTCCCATACCTAAATTTTTCCTCTTAAAAACAATGAGAAGCCAACTGGATCCATGATTAGGGGACTTGTGGATGAGGCTTGAGGCAATTCTTAAGACCAGGTGTAAGAGTCCTGCTTTAGTCTTATCCTGAGATCTTGAGATTGTCCTTTTCTGATGATTTGAGAGCATTCGCACGATTGAGTTTGATGAAAGCCAGCATTACAGCATTCTGAAATCCTCAGCTCTGGAGCTGGCCCACTCTTGCCTTAAATAGATGCTGCCCTACATCCTGTGACGGAGGCGCACTGATTTACGATTGTGAAAGCAGAAAAAACAATGGCACCCTTTGGAACCGTAAGGCTCTGCGCTCTCTTGCAAGGTGAGCCTTTGAATTCTCACCCAGTTTCTGGATGCAGCCATGGCCTCTTTCTGCCTCCTTTGACAAAATCCAGCCTTGGCAGGGATGAAGAAGAGCGAGCTTCCATTGCGTCAGTCGCCCACTTTAGTGCTGTTTCTCCTCCTTAGCCAAAATTCATTGCAGAATATACATTTGGCAGACAAGGTGCCTTAAAAACCCAAATGGATGGATGAGCAAGGTGCTAGTTAGAGAACTCACCTATTTTGCAGAGCAGAGCCAGACAAAGCAAGCAGGGTGGGTGGGAAGCAGTCAGAATTGGGGGGAGGGTCTCTTCTTTCTAAGCCACCCATGGTTTGTGGGGTGGAGGTGTTTGTGTGTATGTGTGTGTGCAAGAGCCATATTCACCTCAACCTGTTGGCCGCCTTTACACACAATCTCTCTAATGCTGCAATTCCTGGGTGGGGGGCTTCGAAAGCCAGTGGGCTGCCTTCTCCACACCGAGGAGGAGTCCTGTTGAATCCTGAAGCCCCACACCCTTTGCAAGGGGTCGGGGTCTTACCCAGGAAGGCTGGTCCCCTCCAGCCGGGGTGGTGGGTGGTGGGCAGGGGGGCTGGCCTGGCTGCCTCCCCCAAGCCCTCTCACTGGGGCTCGCTCTCTCCGCTGCTGCTGCGCTCGCTCGGGCTGGTAGGGACCCCCTTCCCGGCTGCCTCCCAGTCGCGCTCGATGTAGAGGTGGTAGGGATCGTGCTTGGACTCCAGTTTGCGCGAGCGCGTGTAAGCCAGGATCAGCCCGCCCGCCAGGCAGCCGTAGAAGATCATGATCAGTAGGATGTACAGGTAGGCGTCGTCCTCGCCCGGGGCCCGCGCGGCGGGGCTGGAAGGGGCGCTTCTGACGGGGTCGGGCCCCCCGGCGCCCCCGCCACGCAGTTCCTGCCACAGGCGGCTCAAGAGGCGCTGCAGCCGCCGGCTCTCGCTGCAGTTGGCCTCCGGCTCCTCTTGCATGACTCCTGCAGCGCCTGGGGCTTCCTCCTCCTCCTCCTCCTCCGTCGGAGACAAAGGCTGCAGATGCTGCGCTTGCCGGCTTGCAAGGAGGCGAGGGCGCGCCCTCTCCTTCCCCCGGGTTTGGAGGGTGGGAGGTGTTTCTCCGCCTCCTGGAGGCGCCTTTGTTCCTTAATGGGAAATCCTGAAACCTGAGCTGCTTTGGGAGGGATTCTGACCCCCTCCTCAAGGAGGAATTGGAAGAAAAGCTGGGGGGGGCGGGATGCCATCTGGGCTTTGTCCTGGGGGGGAGGGTGTCTCAGGAGGAGCCTGAAGCAGCGCTGCAGTTGGTTTGGGTTCGAATGAGGGGTAAAATTCAGTAGGTTCTGACAGGTTCTGGAGAACTTGGTAGCGGAAAATTGGAGAACCAGAAAATACCACCTCTGGCTGGCCCCAGAGTGGAGTGGGAATGGAGATTATAGTATCCTTTTCCTATCAGGTCCACCAAGCCACGCCAACAGAACCAGTAGTAAAAAAAATTTGAATTTCACCATTGGTTCGAATCCCTAGCATCGCGTAATGGAGCCAGCTCCCGTTACTTGTCCCAGCTTCTGCCAACCTAGCAGTTTGAAAGCATGTAAAAAATGCAAGTAGAAAAATGGGGACCATCTTTGGTGGGAAGGGAACAGCGTTCGGTGCTTGAGTCATGCCAGCCGCATGCCCACAGAGACGTCTTCAGACAGAGCTGGCTCTTCAGCTTTGAAACGGAGATGAGCAGTGGCACATTAAGGCTCATTGGTGCTCTAAGCACTGACAAATCTTGGGTGTCCCCCTCCTTTGTACAAACTGTACAAATCTTCATTGGCGTTTTTTCTTTCTTTCTCAACTTTGTGGTTCCCCGTTTGGGCCTGGTGCCCTAAGCACGTGCTTAGTCTGCTTAATGGTTAATACACCACTGGAGATGAGCACCGCCCCCTAGAGTCAGGAACGACTAGTACATATGTGCAAGGGGAACCTTTACCTGGTTTGGGAACAGCTGCTGGATTAGAATGGGAACTATGATAAAGGATTGTGTTGTAAAACAAGATTTAGTTGATTCTTCAGCACCATGGTGTTGTTTTTTTTAGGAATTCAAACCACCGAACTGCTGACCTTTCTGATCGACAAGCTCAGTGTCTTAGCCACTGAGCCACCTTGTCCCCCAACATAACTAAAAGGCAATAAAAATTGGAGGGGGCTGCCTGGAGTTGAGAAGCAATGCAGGAAGAGCCACCAAACTTTTGGATGCCTTTACTTTTCAATAGAAAGTGGTGGCTTCGATTTTACTGATGTAATTGGGTAATATCCCCATATTTTCCTTTGAGAAATCTTTTTTTTTTTTTTGTCTGGGTATGTTTGTGGTAGAAGAGAGGTGGGATTTTTAGAGCACATGATCAAAGAAGAACAGGTCAGCTTGATCTGTTTTCCGTCAACCAATTCAGAGTTGTTCCACTTAAAACAAGTAACCCAGAATGACCAAAAAAGGCTCAGGCTGAAAACATGCTAGAATCTGTTTCTTATAAGGAATGACATCTTTCTTGAGCTAATCCGAATACACAATTGTGGGTTTTTATTTTGTCCGGCTTCCAAAACAGGAACTGAGCCTGAAGTGGCTCCACACTGGATAATGGAGGTGGATGATGGTTTGATGCCACAATCACAGAAAGGCTCAGCAGTCTTTTAGGGATATTTTCAACTCTGGATGATTTAGATATAGATGGGATTGCGTTATTAATTATACATTTTAGAGATGAGACTGGCAATCAGCCACCCTGTTTCAGCAAGAGTAAGAGATGTGAGCCAAGGACATGTTGACAAAAGTTGACAGCAAGCAGGAAATCTTATTTTATGGATGCTTCAGGCAAAGTTATTTGGGAGGAGTGAGGCCTCACAAACAGTAATGTAAGGTAAAGGTTCCCCTCGCACATATGTGCTAGTCGTTCCCGACTCTAGGGGGCAGTGCTCATCTCAATTTCAAAGCAAAAGAGCCAGCACTGTCCAAAGACGTCTCCGTGGTCATGTGGCTGGCATGACTAAACGCCGAAGATACACGAACGCTGTTACCTTCCCAAGGTGGTTCCTATTTTTCTACGTGCATTTTTACGTGCTTTCAAACTGCTAGGTTGGCAGAAGCTGGGAAAAGTAACAGGAGCTCACTCCGTTATGCAGTGCTAGGGATTCAAACCGCTGAACTTTTTGATCAACAAGCTCAGCATCTTAGCCACTGAGCCACCACATCCCTCATAAACAGTAAATACTCTCATTTCCATCTTTATTTTTATTCCAAAATTGCACTGCTGAAGATTCAAGAGTTTTGCCATTTCCCACAGAACAATTACACAAGAGCTTTAAAAGTCCTTGGGGTAGTTTCTCTTCTTTGTGAATCACAAGGTATATGATCTGTTAGATGTCTCCAGAAAGCAACTTCCAGGCTGCTTTAAGATGATCCTAGATCCATTCTATCTTGTTTTAGTCAAAGACCTGCAAAGAATACCAGGTCTGATTCTGGCCCAACTGTTATGTTTTAAAACTTTGCACAAGATGAAAATAGCACTTATATACCGCTTCCTAGTGCTTTAAAGGAGCCCTCTCTAAGTGGTTTACAGAGTCAGCATTTTGACCCCAAAAATCTGACTCCTCATTTTACCAACCTCGGAAGGATGGAAGGTTGAGTCAACCTTGTGCTGGTCAGGATCGAACTGCTGGCAGTGGGCAGAGTTAGCCTGCCATATTGTATTCGAATCACTGTGCAATCATGGCTCTTATAAAACTGGTGTTTGGGATAAAGGTGGCATTAAAAAAAAAGTATGGCCAGTGAAGTCACTTCTTGTCGGGCTTAGTGAATTTATGCAAATAAGTTTGTTGCTCATCTTAGAATTGCACACTTGTACATATTATAGTTAGATCCTTAGTCCTGCTTGCCTGAGAAACTAGTTCATGAGAGGAGACACACAGGATATTTTCTCAAGGTATGGTACTTTCTTGACTTGTTCTAACTGAAAATGAGGAAGTTCTAACTTAACCTGAAAGTTGAAATCCGTTCTAGCTTTTCTGAAATGGGATGACTTCCTTGTTCTAGTTGTTGCTTAGCATCTCTTGATAGGAGAGTGTGGTATTAATTTGTTCCGATAGGAGAATGAAAGGCAGGCGCCTTGGTGTGCAGAGATGTGATTCCCAGTTCTAGAAAACTTGTCCACAGTAAGAGTATGGTTGTATAACCTAGCTCTGTGATGGCGAACCTATGGTACGTGTGCCAGAAGTGGCATGTAGAGCCCTCTCTCTAGGCACATGCGCCAGCCAGCTGGTCTTCGTGGGTACCGGAGTGCCGGAAAACGGCCTGAAAACAGCCCCCCAAAATAAACTGAAAACAGGCATGTGCTCACCAGCCAGCTGGTCTTCAGGTTTCCGGCACACGCACATGCGCACACTTACATGTGCATTCCGGTTTTGGCACTTGGTGCCTAAAAGGTTCGCCATCACTGACCTAGCTTACTTATGGGACAGCAATGTACTCTCACTAATGAACTACACATATTTAGACTTGGAAAAATCCTGGAAAATTACCATCTTAATGACCATGTATGTGAATAAAGAGAAGAAAACATGTTTTGTTGACCTTCTCTACTGAGGTCATCTGCCATCTTGGAAAGTTTGTTCCGAGAGCACCTGCGCCCCGTCTGAAAATGATGCTAGTTAAGAAACAAGAAGAGAAAGATCTCACAGGGCGACAGTACCTTGAATGCAGATACATAAAGGAAGTGTGAGTTGCTGAAATCTCACCTTCGGCATTTCCTCTGCATTTTCTGTTTAACCTTTTGTTATGCTTTAAATCAAAATATCATTTTACCTCAGAGTTTTATCCCATGCTGAATGAACTTGTTTGGCGGTGGGGGGGGGGGAATAAATGGTAGGGAGAACATTTGTTGCTTCTGTAAATAAGGATCTGTGATTGGTTGAGCTCTTAAGAGGCATTTCTCTGGGACCGTATTTTCTTGCGGTTGGACTTGTTTTGAATGTTTCTATTTTCAGTCAAAAGGAAAGGAATAGACTTGCCCAGAAACTACTGTATTTTTCGGAGTATAAGACGCACCTTTTTCCCTCAGAAAAGAGGGAGAAAATCTGTGTGCGTCTTATACACTGAATACAGCATTTTTGGCCTCCTGAAGCCCTGCCCCCTTTGTAAAATGGCCCTGCATAGCCTTTAGGAGGCTTCCAGAGTGCTCCTGGGGGCTGGGGAGGGCTAAAATTTGCTCCTTTTTGCCCCCCCCCAGCCCCCAAGAGCACTCTATAAGCCTTCTAAAGGCTATTCATGCCTTTTTTCTGACAAAAACAGGGCTGTTTTGTGAAAAATTGGCCATTTTTTGCTCATTTTTGCCCTCCCTCAGCCCCCAGGAGCACTCTACAAGCCTCTTCCGTTTTGATAAAAAACGGGCCTGTTTTCATGAAAAACGGTCCGTTTTTTGGAGGTCTTCAGAGTACAAAAACTTTTTTTTAAATTTGCCTCTTCAAAATCTTGGTGCGTCTTCTACCCCGAAAAATACAGAATCTCAAAAATACTCCTCATGGCTTAAAAATGGCTCCTCATGCACAACCAATTCTGATCAGGCAGTAAGTTTCACCAGGATTATGATCTGTTGTTGCTGTAGAAGCTGGCTCACCCGCATGGCTACCTTGCAAAAGGGAAAAAAAAGTCTCCAACTCGCGTTTAAAACCGCTGTGTATTGAATAACATCTCATACAAAATTCCTTCATTCTCCAAATAATATCCAATTATTTTTCTTTTTTCAACCGTAATATACACATTAAAGTATAATGAATAAGAGAATCTATTTTATAAATACTTTAGAGCCACCAAAAGGTAACACAATGCACCCGAGAGCCACATTTGTACAAAAATGGAAGCCACACACAGAAAAAGATCAAAAGTGCACAGTAGAACAGCGTCCCATCGTTGCCACGCTCTTCTCGTTTTTTGTTTCAAGTGTGAACTACTAGCATGAATAGAGAAGCCCAGTGCACAAGAGGCATTCTGTGGAATAATGCACACAGCAACAGAGCAGACTGCTGCTCCCTCCCGCTCGCCGTACATCGAGGAGTTCCAGTTTTTAAATAAAAATAGCAGACAAAAAAAAATTCCCTTTGCAAACACTTTAAAACACAAAGTTGCCACGGCTACGTCCATCACTCGCATAGAAGAGAAATTCATTTTAATATAAGATTTTGATTTATGTGATATAGTCAAAGATAAATTAAAATGCCCCTTTTAAAACAAAAACAAAACAAACAAACAACAATAACCAAATATTTTATCTGTGGTGGGGATGTGCTTAGAGACGCGGCGCAAACATCCCAAAAAGCAGAACACTCTGCAAAAGCAGAGAGTACTTTAGCTACAGGACTTGTTTTGTTCCACTGATTTTTTTTTTTTTTTAGGTAATGAGTGCGAATAAATAAATGATCAGAAAAGATGCCGGCTTACTGGTGGCAGTAATGCCAGCGCTCTTAGTACAAGCCAAAGTGATGCTAGACACGGCCAAAGTCATCCCCTTGTCTTCTTCCAAAAGACGGCTTGAAATGTTTTGATTGGAATGTCTTAATTTACCTCTGATCGTCTGCGAGGATAGTTTCTTTTTTTTAGGCACTCGAAACGTTTAATACTACCAGCCATTTCTTCCCTCTTTTTGTATGGAACACAACCATTTGAAAGAAAGAAAAATAAATATGAGAGAATCTATTTGTGGCCACCAATGGCAGTGAAAGGGTGTTCCCCCCCCCCCCACTCCCAAGGCAGCAGCAAATGTGACTTTTAAAGTACCGCCAAGTAATCTCTTGAGCAGTGGAAACTATGGCCGAACAGCCTAGAGCAGTGTTTCCCAACCTTGGTGACTTTAAGTCCTGTGGACTTCAACTCCCAGAATCCCCCAGCCAGCATAGCTGACTTAAAGTCACCAAGGTTGGGAAACACTGGCCTAGGGTGCCTTTTTTTCTGGAATGAATAATTAAAAAATAATAATCAGAAATTGCAGGAATAATTTCACGGCAGAGATGGGCAGGATGGTCTTGCAGAAAGGAAGGAAAAACTTGGCATGTGGTTCAAGGACCCGATTGGGCGTTGTTGTGTTGGACTGTCAGTTTTTACGGCTGGGTGAAATTACCGTTTTCACAAGAGAAATCCCTCTTCCTCTCTCCGTGCCTCCAACGACAGTCACCTTCAAATGAGCCATTCAAGCAAAGGACCTGAGAGAGCCATTTCCGGAGCAGCATTTTGAAAAGGGCTCGGTTCTGCCCCACCCTCTTCCAACACCTCTTCCGTGTCGCCTTTGCAACCGGCTTCTTTAACTCATTTCGAAAACATCGCCCTGGACTCAGTCAAGGTGATCTCACTGCTTTCGAATCAGAGAGAGAAGCCGGAAGAGAAAGGTAGAAATATTGGTTTATCTAGTGGGGGGGGGGGGGTTCCATACGAACGCAGCCATTTGGAACTGGAAGTGGTCTCATGAAACCATGGCAGTGGGTCGGTGTTTTTGACAGCATCTTGGAAAACTGCAGGCCAGAAAGCCAGCGCAGCCGTTTCTTCTGGGATAACCGAGAGAAAATTTTCAACTGTTTTATGAAAACACAGCTTTTGGGAAATTCATTCCTCATTCAATTCCAGAAGGAGACAACGCAGGGTTTCTGACGCAGGGTGATTGGGAGGCCTTACTTCCCTCCGTACATCCGCTCGATGTCATTGAGGTAATGGTTCTTCAGTTCCTTCCTTTTCAGTTTGAAAGCATCGGTGACCAAGCCTGTTTCGGGAGTCCAGGGCTCCGGACTCAGACGTACTTTGATGGGCACTTCAAATCTTTCCAACTTCACTGGAAGACCAACAGGGGTGGGGTGAGGGTGAAGAAGGAAGAAAACAGAGATCAGGATTTGAAGAGAGAGGAGCCAGGCAGATGAACACAACCTACAAATGTTATTCACTTATATACGAATGCAGTAGGCTTGGGGGTTTTTTCTGTTCAAAATCTCTTTTTTTGCCCAAAAGAAGAGGGGGTCAAACCTATTCTCCAAAGCACCTGAGGGTAGAACAAGAAGCAATGAATGGAGACTAATCAAGGAGAGAAGCAACCTAAGAACTAAGGAAACATTTCCTGACAGTGAGAACAATTAACCAGTGGAACAACTTGCCTCCAGAAGTTGTGAATGCTCCAACACTGGAAGTTTTTAAGAAGAGATTTGACAACCATTCGTCTGAAATGCTGTAGGGTTTCCTACTTGAGCAACGGGGTTGGACTAGAAGACCTCCAAGGTCCAATTCAGCTCTGTTATTCTATGATCTTAAGACCAACTGGACAAGAGCAGTTCTGCAGGACTGCTACTGTCTAGAGACTCTCCAGACCATGCTTGGAAAACCTGACTTATCAACCACTGAAATCCAGAACATCAAGAATGGATTACTTTGATTGCTTTTCATTGCAAAATGAAAGGGATAATAAGCCCCGGTGATCTAAATCCTTCAGAGTCTCACTTTTCCGTTACAGGGATTCTCCAACTTACAACCATTCGTTTAGGGACTCCTCAATGTTACCGTGGTGACTTAGGGCTGGGTCCTCACACTTAACCATCAGAGCATCTGTGGGGTTAGGGTTGTCATTCCGGCCTTTGGCAACCACCATCCACTTGCGACGGCTGCAGTGTCCCAAGGTCATGGGATCGTCATCTGCAACCTTCCAGCTGGCTTCCGCCAAGCCAAGGGGGAAGGTGGCAGGGAAGGTCACAGTTGTGTGACATCTCGCTTCATGTTCACAGAAAAAAAGCTTCTAAAATTGGGTGTGGTCGTGCAATGCCCCACTTAACAACTGTGCCACTCAACGACAACTTTTTTGGTCCCTACTGTAGTTGTAACTTGAGGACTACCTGTAGGCACATTTCCTCTGTTCAAAGCTGCCCCAACCTCCAAACAAGTTCAGGAGGAATTATCTGAGGCAGTAGAAGGTGCAAAGTCTGTCAAATGCCGGAAAGTGCCTAAAAAGCCCCACGGCTGTGGCACTACTCATGGCACGAAGAAGCAATTCCACTCCTCTCTTTGTTAGTGGCAAAATCAATCAGTTCAGGGAATAAAACGAATTTTCTTGCAACACTGAGCTGAGAGCTCAAGAAAACCAGTCCTGCGAGCTGAGACTGAATTGAAAGACTGAAGAGCGTTACCAGGGACTAGGGTTACCCCAACAACCCGTCAGAGAAAGTAAATAAGCAAGGGCAACAACAAAAAGGAGGGGGGGATGAGGAGGGAAAAGAAGAAAGGGTAAAGCAGAGAAAGTAAAGGTGGGGAATTAAGAGTAGGGGAGAGGGTAAGAAAGAGGAGAAGGGAAGAGAAGAGGGGAAAGAGAGGAGGGAAAAGAAGAAAGGGTGAAGCAGAGAAAGTAAGGGTGGGGAATTAAGAGTAGGAGAGAGGGTAAGAAAGAGGAGAAAGGAAGAGGAGAGGGGGAAGAGAGGGGAAGAAGAAAGGAGGGAGGAGAGGAGGAAAGAAGAAGGCAGAGAAGGGAGGTTGAGAAGATGGAAGGAGTAAGGTTGCTGCAAAATAAGATGGAGGCACAGGGTGGCAAGAAAGTGATCCAAACTGTAATGTATGTATGTGTTTGTGTGTGTGTGTGTGTGTGTAAAAATGAGTATAGAGATTAATGATGAATAGATAAATGTTAAATAGCAATTATAAGAATGTATATCTCTGAATGAATTTGAAAGGGGAAAAAAATTTATTTTCTGAGAATCTCAATTCAGTCAAGAGGCTAGCAGGCTAAAATAACCCATCCATCTGGGTCGATACCATGGAGAAAAGGCTATTTTTATGCCTGACAGAGACCCCTCATGCTTCAAATCTAAATACAGGTAGTCGAGGACCACAATGCAACAAAATTAACGTTTTATTGTTAGCTGACATTTGTTAAGTGAATTTTGGCCTATTTTACGACCTCCCCCTGTTGTTAAGTGAATCACTGCAGTTGTTAAGTTAGTGGCACAGTTGTTTAGTGAATCTGATTCCCCATTGTCTTTGCTTGTCAAACAGTTGCAAAAGGGGACACGGTAACCGCCGTAAGTCTGAACCAGTTGCCAGGCGTCTGAATTTTGATCACATGACTTCAGGGATGTTACAACAGTCATAAGTGTGGGGAAACGGTCGTAAGTCACTTTTTTCAATGCCAGTGTAACTTTGAACAGTCCCTAAATGAAAATAAGATACCCTGTGCTGTCTCTTCTCAAGTGCATTCTTCCCCATGGCCTGCAGATGGCAGTACAATAACAAATGGAGCTTCACAAGGCCTTTAAGATCATCCTCTATCTGAAAATACTTCCCTGAATCTACTCAAAGTACTTGTTGCCTACCTTTAAATCCTCAGCACGTGGCAAATGTTTCCTTAATACTTGAGGAGAGGATGGGGGTTTAAAATTGTCAGAATCTATATTTGCATTATTGAACATTTGATGTTTTATGATACTCTTTATTTCCTTTTCTTCCACAGTAAAGTAAAGGTAAAGGTTCCCCTTGCACATATATGCTAGTCGTTCCCAACTCTACTGGGCAGTGCTCATGTCCGTTTCAAAGCCCAAGAGCCAGCGCTGTCCGAAGACATCTCCATGGTCATGTGGCTGGCATGACTAAATGCTGAAGGCACACGGAACGCTGTTACCTTCCCACCAAAGGTGGTTCCTATTTTTCCACTTACATTTTTTACATGCGTTCGAACTGCTAGGTTGGCGGAAGCTGGGACAACTAATGGGAGCTCACTTCGTTATGCGGTGCTAGGGATTTGAATTGCTAGGTTGGCAGAAGCTGGGACAAGTAACGGGAGCTCACTCCGTTACACAGCACTAGGGATTCGAACCTCTGAACTGCCAACCTTTCTGATCAACAAGCTCAGCGTGTTAGTCACTGAGCTACTGCTTTCCTCTCTTCCACAGTACCAGAGTTTATAAAGAGGTTACCTATGAAGATCAGATAGCTCGCTAAATGATGCTAGCTTCTCAGGCCCAGATGATACGGCAGGGTTTCCCAGCCTTGGCTACTCTTAAGATGTGTGGACTTCAACTCCCAGCCAGCCAGAGAATTCTAAGGTCGAGTAACCATATGCTACGACATACAATTCCATACGAAGCAGGACAGGCCATGTGCCGTTAATCTTTGCCCAGGCCGTACATAAAAAAAGCCCTTCTCCTGCTTTCTAAAGGAATGGAATGCTGTATGTGCTATGTAAGAGCCCTCTCTGTGGGCACGTTGTCATCTTCTCTTCCGGGTTATGTCTCGCGCATGCGCACCAGACATGTGGTCCGGCATGCATGTGTATCGGCCAGCTGCTCTCTTCCGGGTTCCAGTGTTCTGGCGTGCGCTTGCACTCCAATTTCCGCACATGGTGCCGTAAAGGTTAACCATCATTGGCCTAGGATCACATGAGCAAAACAAACCCGGGATGGGACTTGGATCATGTGCCTGCAGCCACCTTTTTGAAAATTCCTCTTGCCTTCCAGGCACTATAGGAGAAATTGGGGGGGGGGGATGCAGTCACAGAGAAGTGGGTTGCAGAAGCTGTGAACACTTTCCTCTTTAGTGAGATACTGAATGATATTCGAGCAGAGTATCTGCTGCAAATAAGACCGTGAGTTGTAACTACCACGGTTCAGAGAAAGAGCTTCATTTGCTTACTTTTGTTAGCCGTGTTCTTAATCTCTTTCAGGACTTCCGATTCCATGATGGGATTGTTACAGATGTTGACCCAGCTGTCAGTCATGCCCCTCTGTTCAGCAAGTGCCATTAGTTTCTTCTGATTGGGAACCACAAAACTGATAACGTAAGACTGGTTGCTAGATTGAAACACAAGAAAACACTATTTACTTTTTAGTCACCCTTGACAAGCAAAAATTTTTACCCTGAAAATTACTCTAGCCCAGCCTTTTACAATTGGGGTTCTGGGAGAAATTGCGTTTAGGGGTGTGTGGGTGTACTTCATGTGCTAGCTGCAGACTATAAGAGGGAATCTGCTTCTGCCTCCCAGCAATTTGCCTCCTTGCAACAAACAGCAAACAGTACAGATGATATATACTGTTTGTGTTGTTACATTTCAGACTATACTTGTACAGATGCTGTTAAAATTGATGTGCTTTCTGGAAGTATACTTATTCTCTGGTATCTAAAAGAAAATACAATAGCACTGGGTCTCTTCAGATCAAACATTTATTTTAAAAAGCATCTTCATTTTGTTAACCTGTCTTGAACAATAATAAAGCAATCTTTAAAAAATAAGTCTAATAATTTGAACATTCTATAGGCATTTGTAATTATTGACTTACCTCCTTGCAGCAAACAGCAAACAGCCTGATTAGCACAAGAAAAAAAAAAACACTTTTGCCTCCCAGCAACTTTCAGTTGAAGCACCCTCCCGATCATCAGCTGTTTCAGGCTGCAGGGATTGCTATAACCTATTGCAGCCTCCACAAGCCCCATTTTCCCTGTTTGCTGCAAGGTGGTATATAAGAAGCACTCACATTTTCACACTCTTTAAAGGGGGGGGGGAGGTGCGTCTTATACTGTGAAAAATATGGTAACTTTTATGCAGAGGTTCCCAGAGACTTGAACATTATTTCAATTTATTTCCTTCACAATAAAAACAGATATGAGAAAGGTTGCTCCAACTACGTATACTTAGATCATAAGAACCTAAGAATGCCTTGCTGGGTCAGACCTCCAGCCCATCTGTCCCGCAGTTTGCTTTCACAGTGGCCAACCAACTGCCCAAGGAAGCTTGCCGGTCTCCCCGCAGGGGGATTTCAGAAGCTGATCCCTGGGACTTCCATAAAACAGCAGGCAAGTTGATAGGCAGCACCATATCTCTATGGTTACTTGTTACTTGATGTGTATATAGATAGATAATAGCTAAAAGGTTAGACGAAACCAAAAGAATACTGTTGTACCTAGTGTACGAATATTTAGATCTAGAATGATTTTAGCAATGTGGACATATACCTGTGACCCTCAAAGGGTTTCTGAATGAAATGCCAAGTGTCCTTTACTATGACTGGTTTACTGAGGTACAGAATGCAGTTCAGCATCATCTGTAGGCTGGTCAGCTCCCTCACTCAAGATATATAGGGCAACCTTCTCTTGGGTCCCTTATAGCAGCGGTCACCAACATTTCGGATCTCATGGACCACTACATTCATTATTTTAAATCCCCTGGACTATTAATATGAATTGGGATGGGGTCCTTCAGGCACTTAACTTGGCCGCCTGTTAGCGGAGAGAAGCGTCCGGGATCAACCTTAGGTTTGCTGTCCATTGTAGCTAGGAATCTCAAATACTGCCAAGAATGAATGTTTGTCTTATAACCGGGTGTTAGATCGGCCCCATGCAAACTCTATCTTTCAAAGAGCCTGGCCAAACTTTAGCCCACTGCTCACTGAAGCGCCTGGACTCCCATGGAGGGAGGGAAGGGCTGGAGTTACTAAACAGCAGCCAAGTTAAGTGCCTGAAGGACACCATCCCATCAGCGAGCGGGAGTAATTGCCTCAGTGGGCCATTTCCATCCCATGGGCCATAGTTTGAGGATCCCTGATTTAGTGCAATCTAAAAAAATGCAAAGATTTTTCTGCAGACCACCAAAATTTTCTCACAGACCACCAGTGGTCCACAGACCACCAGTTGGTGACCGCTGCCTTATAGCACCTAATGCTTCCCACCATATGCAACTTTAAGATACATGAACTTCAACTCCCAGAATTCCTCAGGTTGGGAAGCACTGAGTTATGTATATCACACCTGCTGGAATGGGCCTAGATAGTTCCAGCAATTTGAATCCTGCCGGATCAATGATTTTAGAAAGTGGAGCACGAGGTTCTTGCTTTCCAACCTGTTTGATGTAAGTTGGCATTTAAAAAAAACCTCCCATGAAATTGTATGAAAGATCACATAGATGTAAACTCACCTTTTCGCATATGCACAAATATTGTCAATCAGGGGGCAGTTTTTCAAGGCTGCCTCAACTTTGCCAAGAGACACATATTCTCCAGCTTGCAACTTCACCAAGTCTTTTTTACGATCTGGGGGAAACAATCACAGTCAGGGTTTCAAATAGCATCCAAAAGTAAATCAGAATCCAAGGCAAAGTATTATTCAAAGTTCCAATTTATGAAGAGAGCCATGTTAGCACATCTGGGAAAACCCAAATCTGAAAGCTTCCAGTTGAAAGTTCAAGATCTTGTCCCCACACCCACAAGTCCATCACATGGTCCAATCTCCCACTGCCATGCTGGCAGTTCTACCCATCCAGTTCCAGTCAGATGCAGAGGTGCAAAGACAAAGGATGACCTTGGCTTTCTAGAAAGGAATTTTATTTTGGCAACTTCACATTCTACTCCTTATTATCCCCCCTCCCAATTCCCCACTAATGCAACAGTGTTGTAGAATAGAATATTAGTGTGGCAGGCCAAAAATCCAAAAGGAACATGGCTGCAGGCCTGACACACACAATTTGGGGTTTGAGAGACTGCCCTCCTCCTTTCCTCAGAAGGAACCCTCAGTCGGCATTCTCAGGACCTTCTAGTTTAGACACGATGCCAGTTTTCATGCAAGACCAGTTGCTGAGATAACGTCTTCTACCTTTGCAACTGTTAGAACCAAATTTTTAAAATGCAGTTACAAAAAGTGAAGACTGTTATAAAATAAGGCAACTGTTTTACATGGCTGTTAAGTGTTATGTGCTTGAAATAGCTTATTCTTATAAAGCAGGGACAGGTTTCTTGGTGAGCAAACCAAAATATTCTGCCAACCTATGATTTGGAGGCAGCCGTCAGAATGAAATTCTCCAATATCTCCAGTGCAAAACCATCGCTGGCCTTTGTCATCGACAATGAAATCTTCGGCTGTTTTCTCGTCATTTCTGAAGTATCCCATGGAGACATTGGGCCCTCCAATTATAATCTCTCCCCTGGGATGGGGCAAGTCTCTTGTTGTGTAACCTCCTGAAAAAAAGCAGAAAGAAAAAATCGATTGGTGGCTACAATTCCTTTAAATCAAGTCAAAATGGTCATCAAGAAAGAATGGCAGGATCATGTTGATTAATTATGTTGGGTCACTAAGTTAATATGGGCTGAAAAATGGTCTGATGCATTAGGTCCAACTAGGACCACAAACTCTGAGGACTAAAAAAACCTTTTAATCTAAAATGGGGGTGTCCAACCTTGGCAATCTTAAGACTTGTGGACTTCAACTCCCAGAATTCTGTAGCCAGTGTGGCAGTTGAAGTCCACAAGCTTTAAAGTTGCCAAGGTTGGATGGAGTTATCGACTCCTTTGTCTGAAGGCTCACATGCAAGAATAGTTAGCAGCAACCCAAATCCAACAGACATGGATAGAAGACAGACAAGAGTTTTCCAATACGGTTGTTTCCTGCAAATGCCCCCTCCCAACTTCTCCACTTATATACTCTCTTGGGAGGGGCCAAGCCACAACCACCTGGGCTTAATCATCGTCTATGAGTCTGCCTACGGAGCTGCTGCTTCCATTTCTCCGCCCTTCTTAATCTTGCATCAGGGACAAACTGCCTTTGATCCTCCCCACTGCTCCATGCCTCAGGCACCTCCTGGTGGCCAACCAGCCTCTCTGGTCCCTGCTCTGAGTCTGAACCCTGCCCAGGGTCCTCCACATCTTTCCTGGTAGACTCATATGCTTCCTCGCAAGTCCATCAGCAGCTCAACCAGATCATGCTGGACCATAACAGGTACGCGTGAGACACAAACAACTCAGAGGTAAGGTAAAGGTAAAGGTTCCCCTCGCACATATGTGCTAGTCGTTCCTGACACTAGGGGGTGGTGCTCATCTCCGTTTCATTCGCTTCAGCATTTAAGATAGTAACTTCAGAGTAAATGCTATTAAACATAGTAGAGATTGTGGTTTACATTATTTATCCCTATTTTATTGATAGCCATCAAACTTATGTCAGGACTCTGTTTCATGTACAGCAAATCTAGTCGTGGCTAGAAGGAGACCTACAGACCAGCTCTGGCCCAGGTATATTGAGAGTTGTAGATCTGATATAACTAAAAGGTAAAGGTTCCCCTCGCACATATGTACTAGTCGTCCCCAACTCTAGGGGGCGGTGCTCATCTCCATTTCAAAGCTGAAGAGCCAGCGCTGTCTGAAGACATCTCCGTGGTCATGTGGCCGGCATGACTAAATGCCAAAGGCGCATGGAACGCTGTTACCTTCCCACCAAAGGTAGTTCCTATTTTTCTATTTGCATTTTTACATGCTTTTGAACTGCTAGGTTGGCAGAAGCTGGGGCAAATAATGGGAGCTCACACTGTCACGCAGCGCTAGGGATTCAAACCACTGAACTGCCAACCTTTCAATCGGCAAGCTCTGCCTCTTAGCCATTGAGCCACCGCGTCCCTTACAGGTAATTCAGAGATAATACTACTAAATGTAGCGGGCTTCTTCCCAGAGTCAAGCAAATACAGGATTGCTGCTTCTCTCAGCCAATTAATGCAATTTATTAGGAAATGGATACACCTAACAGATCAAATTAACAGAGTTTTTCAACACTGACAACTGTGTGGACTTCAACTCCCAGACTTTCAATGCTGGCTGGGGAATTCTGGGAGTTGAAGTCCACACATCTTAAAGTTGCCAATATTGAAATGCCCTGGGTTAACCAATACTAGTTAAATGTATCTATAACCATTGGCCTCTTAAGCCAACCGATTTAAAAGGTTAATGATTTTCTATGGGATACCATTCATCCCATAAGCGCGCCACAAGGGGAAAACAGTTTCAGAACTGGGACACCCTGGACCAAAAATAATCAGGTTTCCCAGATGGGTCTGTTTTTCTTACCCCCAAAAAAGAGAAATGGCTGGAGATGGGTCAAAAGTCTTCTTGAGAAAAACCTAGAGATGAAATAACTTTCCAACAAGCACATATTTATCTAGTTTGTCACGGGCATGATACACACTCCTATTTCAGCATGGAAACAGGTTAAAGTATATTGGAATAATGGGATTTTTCTCACCTTCTTGCCAATCTCTGAGTTTAATCTCACAGCAGATAAGAGGAGCTCCAACTCTTCCAGTACTGTAGTCAGTTACTAGATAGAAAACATTAGGAAACAAGGAATGAGATAAGAATCAAACTGTAAGAGAAGAGCAGGGAGACTTGAGGGTGGAATTAAGCATGCCATCAGCTTAGAGTTGTTATGTGGCCACAAATGGTCCAATTCCTCTTGAACTCTGCTGACCCTTATTTGGCACTCATTTAGTATTAAAATTTAGATCATTGTGTATAGGCTTGAGCAACTTAATGTAGGGTCGTGATCTTTTGCGGCTACATTAATGTCAGGCAAAAAAGAACAGGATCATACATTAAGCTGCATTAAGCTGCAGTTCAGAAAATTTATCCCTCAATCCTATACACAGGAATCTAGTCAACTAAGGTGTCCGGCCTGGAAGCCATCTTTGTATTGGGCCTTCAGGCCTGCCAAATTTTCTGCTGAGGAAAAATGGGAGGGGGGATTATATGGAGTAAGGGTGATATATAGTCTAAATAACATTCCTTTCTCAGAGTGTCAGAGTGCCCTGCAGCTGCGATGGTGTGACTAGGAGGCATCTCCAGTTTTGGCTGCTGCCTGATTGGACCATGGGATGGACATGTGGGTGCTGGGCAGGGACTTGGACTTTCTTTTGGGTGGGGAAAACCTGGAAACTTTCAGATTCGGGTTTTCCCAGAGATGTGCCAATATGACATCCTTAATAAAATGGAACTTTGAGGAAACTGGGAGTCTTCTTTCGTTGCGGATCTTACTTGGAACCCTGACATAAAATTCAAGTCAGCGCCAGATCAAAGGTCAATGGAATTCAATGGGGCTTTAACTTGGCCTGTTTTTGGCAATGTAACTACTCTAAACTGATGACATGCTTAACTCCACCGCCCCAGCTTTGCCTACTCTTCTATAGAAATGCTTTTAAAGTTCTTTTACTGTAATTGCAGACTGGATTAGACAGCACTGCAGGCTGTTTCTCAAGGGCTCCACCCAAAACACCTTTCATTATTTGGAGCTAACCCCAAATAAGGATTACCTTCAGTAATGGTGCCTGCTCCACAGGTTTCCGTCAGGCCGTAGCCTTGGCCAACAGGGCAGCAGAAGCAGATGTTCATGAACCTCTGTGTTTGAGATGAGAGAGGAGCCCCTCCGGAAAGCATCATACGGACATTCCCTCCCAACAGGGCCTTCACCTTTTTAAATAGCAGTCTTAAAAGAAAAGAATTCCACAATGACATAATGGAAGGGCACCCTAAGAGGATTTATAAACAGCAGGTGCATGACTCTCTTTGGCCCCTCCCAGACACACCTATTAATCCACCTGCTGTGGATTCAGCCCAAGGTTATAGATCTGATTGTCTTTCTGCTCTGTTCAAAAGTGAACAAGAACCTGGTTTTCAATGTGCGGGTTCTAGATTCAGTTGAAGTTGCAGTAGACTCGTTGAAATGATTGCCCCCCCCCCAAATAATAGATATGGATCTCTTTCAGATCAGAGAAGTTTAGTTCAAATCCGATTAGGTACAAATCAGGGAGATCTGAACATATCCATCAGAGGTTCCCTGGAAGTTCAGGAAATTTTTATCTTCTTGTCGTCGGACGCTGGCGATCATGTTGGCAACCCTATTTTTGTCAACAGCCGCATGAAAAAGTGCTGCTGAGTTTCGTCCAAACCAGTCCCTTAGGTTTTGAAGCCATGATGTTCTTCTTCTGCCTGGACCTCGTTTGCCTTCAATCTTTCCCTGGAGGATTAAGTGAAGGACGGCCGTACTTTTCTACGTGTTGCATCCCATGTCCAAAATATTCTAACTTTCGCTTTTTAATGGCCTTGATGATTTCCCTTGGCTTTTCCAGGGGGCTTATCACCTCCTCATTTCTGATTTTGTCAACCCACCTTATATGTAACAGCTGCCTATAAATCCACATTTCAAATGCTTTTAATTTCTTCAAGTTGCTTTCTGTCAGGGACCAACTCTCTACTCATTAGAGCAGGATAGAAAAGATGTAACATCTGACAATCCTGATTTTCAGTCAGGCTCATGTCGTGAGTGCAGAAGGCCTTTTCCATTTTGAAGAATGCTGTTCAAGCTTTCCCTATCCTTTACTTCATGATCATGTCCCAGCTTTCATGCAAATTAAAACCGAGGTACATGATCCTTTCAACTTTTTCTAGTGGCATTCCTTCTGAATTTATCAGTGGTAAATTAATGGGTTGTTTGACCAAGATCCTGGTTTTTGAGATGTTAAGCTTCCAGCCATATTTTTCAGATATTTCTGAGACTCTGTTGATGAGGAGCTGAATTTTTTATAGGATAAAATATTCTATATTAACCCAAGGGTTAGTTGTATGGCAAGATTCAAAGATAAACCCAGGAGCCTCCAGATAACCTGAACTGCAACATTCATGATCTCCACCTAGCATGGTGATTGTCTGAATGGCCAGGAATTTTGGGAGCTGGTGCTCAATATATTAACAACAAGCAGTCTGGCAAAGGTTAGTTTAGAAAGCACCCCAAGATAAATGATCTCACTACAGCCATTTAAAAAGCAGTTCAAAACCTACATTTGAGAACCACTGATTTCCATGAGGAATGAATGTACACCTGAAGGGAAGGTTAGGATTTAGACAAAGAGTCCGCTCAATTCTGTTGAACCCCTGGCTGTTTTTTTTTTTTTACTCAAATGTAATCCCCAATCATATCTGCAACAATTATTAAAATACATCAGCTATACTTACAAGTTACAGAGAGGTGCGTCATAACCTCTTTTTATTTGTTCCAATTTATAGTCATATCCTATCTTGAATAAAGTTTTCTGGAAATAGTTCATCTCCTGAACTTTACTCATAACGTTCTTATAAATTCGATCCATGATTTCCTACAAACGATTTAAAGGAAACATTTTATTCCTGAACCGGTTCATACCAGCCCAGACCTGTGAGTAAGGATAACAGGAAGGAGAAATTCCTTCATTTTAAATAGCTAGCTATTTCCTTAGTTGTATAATCCTTAATATGTAATCGGGCTAATCTATTGGCGGTCAATTTTAGCTGGGGGTTATTTGCGTAGGCATTCAGCGGAAAGCAATGGAAATATTGAGCCCCCCCTCCTTTTGACCCATTGCAATGTCAGGAAAAAAAATCTGTGGCCACATTTACTCAGTGAAATGAAGATCTGACGCTACTCACAACTTATGCCGAAGTTACTTATAGCTTACGTATGGATGGTTGTAATGTAGTATGGTCATCTTTATTGAAACCATAGCATGAAACTTTATGTACATGTATGAGATTTTGCTTTCTTTTCTATTTAATTATACAAATAAAAGCTATTTTAAAAAATGATTGTACATTTTAAAATAGAGTTCTCATCATGTGAGCAAAAGGATAACAGGAATCTATCGAATGAGTCAAAAGTCTGGGAACTTGAGGACAAAACTAAGATGTTCTCAAATGTTCTAAACATCTGTTTTCTTGCCAAATTATATGCTAGATTTCTTTCTCACCCACACACATCAATAAAATTATTTTTTTTGTAGCCAGTTGCATTTTATTTAACTATTGGATGCACTTAACAGGGTTTGACAAGGGAAGGTGGAAAGAAAACAGATTTTCAAAATGTGTATTATGAAACATGAGCATTGATGACTGTTTCAAGCAAACAAAGCTGTAGATATATGCACACCTGCAATTGGTTTTATAAGATCCCGAATTTCAAAATGTTATTAGTTTCTCAAAATATAATATACAAAAAAACCTAATGGCAAGGAAGGAAAAAGTGTTACTTCCGACTCCTTTGTGTGCAGTAGAATAAGGTAAGAGCATAAAAGTTCAACTTTTTTACTTTTATATAATAATATATACTATATTTTAAGAAACTAATAAAATTTTGAAATTAGTTATTAAAAGATCCAACATGTAGGGTTTTTTTTTGACCTGTGGGTTTAAGATGGGTGATCTATATAAACCTATTGGGAAAAATAAGTGACTATACTTTTTAAAGTTTAAAATTTAAGCCATTTTTAATAAAGTTACCGCATGGAATACGCAGAATTTCACAAGTATCTCATCTTTACTGATACTTACTGGCACAGCCGCCATCAAGGTGGGCTTCAGAACACTGCAGTCTCCTTTGCTTCCCTTTTTAATTTTGCTGGACTGAAAGAAAGAAAGGGTGGGAGCAAGAACCCAATTTCAATTTCAATTATTTTCACAGAAGAATAAAACTATACAAAGGTGCTTAGGGCGATTGAATTTTGCAAATTGAAATAATAAGCTGAAGGAATGAAAGGCAGAGCATTGATTGTATTTCAGTGCTTGAGGGTCAAAGAGCTGATCAGATTCTAAAGCTGATGAGAACACGGAAAACTTGCAATCGAGAAAATTAGAAATGTTTCAGGAATACAGTTTTGAGATGTCCTTATCTGTTCCCATAACTTTGGCTCAGATTATTGTAGTGGCAAGCTTACTTCTCACTTTAAGGTTATACAATAGTATATTAATCTGTGCTGTTTTTAATGCTTTAATATTGTAATAACCTTTTACTTCTTTTATAATTTTTAAGCTGCCCAGAGTCACCTTGTAGGGGAGATGGGTGGAATAAAAATAAACAAACAAAAAAAATGAATTTCTATCCAATGTTTGGCATTAATTGAACATGTTTCTTCCTAAACAATTTACAAAGCATCTCCCATCCATTGACTTACCTGGTCTGACAGGGTGAGTGGTGAGGAATATCCAATCCTGCAGCCATAAGTAATGCAGGAAATTTCTGCTGTCAGTTCTAATACATGAGCCAAAGGCAAGTAGCCAATGTACGTGTCGTTGGGTCTAAGGGAGAAAATGTATGGTAAATTGTTTCAATATGGCAGTCACGGATTATCTTGGTCTAAATAAACACAGAGCATGGTTTTTGTCTCTTAACCGGGGACAACTGAATCCTTGCAGTCTAGTGGAGGGGTCTCCAGCCTTGGCAACTTTATGATTTGTAGACTTCAAGTCCCAGAATTCCTCAGTCAGCCTGGTTGAGGCTGAGGAATTCTGGCTGAGGAATTCTGGGAGTTGAAAGCCATAAGTCGTAAAGTGGCCAAGGTTGGAGGCTGATCTACTGTACATTCAGGTTGACAAAACATCACTTTGGATCAACTGAGTTAAAATGCAACTTCAGATAAATTGTGTGACCTCCAGAAGTAAGGATCTCAACTTGCTCATGCTGGGTAGAGAGTTCTGGGGGTTACGGATACAGATTAACAGAGTTGGCAGGGACCTTGTAGATCATCTAGTCCAACCCACTGCTCAAGCAAGAGACCCTACACCATTTTTGATGGATGGCAGTCCAGTCTCTTCTTGAAAGCTTCCAGGGATGAAGCTGTCCACGCAGCTGGACAACTCCCAGATTGAAGAAGGCTGTTGTCTCCATCTGCTTTGACAGACCTTATACCTGTCCCTTTTAGTTACTAGGGTAACAGAAACGTTATGTTCTACATGCAATTTATGTCATTCAAGCCAGAATAGGTCAGTCCTGGAGTGAGGGCTCCAGTCTGTAGAATGGTCTGTTGGGAGAGGTTTGCTTAGAGCTTATCCTGCAGTTTTTTTGTCTCCCAGATACTTGAAATACATCGATATTTTGGTGTGTTAAAATCCCAGACTATTCTACTGCTACACTTTATTATACAGGCAGTCCTTGTGTCAGTCAGGCCTGCAGCTTTCTTTTGGATCTTTGGCCTGCCACATTTTCTATTATTCTACTATGCATTTTCTATTGTGGGAAAATGGGAGTGGGGATTGTACGTAGTTACCTACTGTATAGCCAAAACAAAATTCCTTCTAGAAAGCCAAGGTCATTCTTTCTCTCTGCACCTCTGCACCTGACTGGAACTGGATGGNACCTCTGCACCTGACTGGAACTGGATGGATGGAACTGCCAGCATGGCAGTGGGAGATTGGACCATGTGATAGACTTGTGGGTGTGGGGGCAAGATCTTGAACTTTCAACTGGGTGGGGAAAACCGGGAAGCTTTCAGATTTGGGTTTTCCCAGATGTGCCAACATGACTCTCTTAATAAATTGGAACTTTGAGCAATACTTTGCCTTGGACTCCGATTTATTTTTGGATGTTATTTGGAACCCTGACACCTTGACTTACAACCATTTGTTTAGTGACCATTCAAAGTTACAACAGCACTGAAAAAAGTGACTTACGACTATTTTTCACACAACCATTGCAGCATCCCCATGGTCACGTGATCAAAATTCAGACGCTTGGCAATTGACTCATATTTATGACAGTTTCATATCCAGGGTCATGCAATCCCCTTTTGTGATCTTATGACAAGCAAAGTCAATAGGGAAGCCAGATTCACTTAACAACTGCAGGGATTCACTTAACAAATGTGGCAAGAAATGTCGTAAAACGGGGCAAAACTAACTTAACAAATGTCTCACTTAGCAACAGAAACTTTAAGCTCAATCGTGGTCGTACGTTGACAGCTACCCGTATTATGATTCATTACCATCCCGAATGCTCATATTATTTTGTGTTGAAGCCTCTATAGATTATACTTTAAACAATTGTGTACAATGCTCAAAGTTGAAGTTAGCAGGCAATCCAGGAATAAGTTGTGCACAAACACACTAACTCACTCCAGCCTCCAAGTTCTAGCAGTCAAGAGCACCAATGCTTTCTCTGCTTGACTTTTGTGTAATTAACAGGCCTAGTAAAGCTTGAAAGGCCATCGTGGATTTGCACTGAATCAAACAATAAAAGTAGAGTACAGCTTTGAAGAGTTTGTTCCACTCCTTGAGCAGTGTAACTGCATATTTCTGCTTCTCTTGCAGCAGCAAAAACAGGGGAAGACTTATCTTTACCGCTATATAAAGATTAACCTTATTGCTTTTATTGCTCAAAGAGTGGAAGAAACTCTCCCCAGGAAGCAAATTACCAAGAAGAGAATAAGCTGTGTCTCCAAAGCAAGTGAACCTTGTTATCTCTTCGAGATACATATACTTATTTCTAATCTTGATTATTAATCAGTTTAAGTTTATAGATCAGTATTTAAGGTATAGGTCATTGATTAAGTTCTGAACATGCTGAGTAGCATTCTTCATAGCATTAATGAGCACCACAAAGTTTCTTGCATGGGCTGGGCAGGATATGATAGTGGTGTGTAAACAGGGAAGAAAGAGCTAGATAGCAATATGGATCAATGCCAAGGCTCCAATAAAGGAGAATATTTGTAGCTCAGGCTTGAAATGAGGGGTCCTTGGTGCTCTCTGAGTTTGGTTGTTCCTTCGAAGACACTTCATTACCCAAACTAAGTAACTTCATCAGCACAGATAACGTTACATAGTTTGGGTAACGAAACATCCACAAGGAAACAAACAAGAGCACCAACAAGTTCCCTCAATGCAATTACGATCACAAGACCTTAATCCAGTAATACATAACCCTCCTAGTACCAGATGTTATTGTGTCCTAACCACAATCCAAGCCCATTTCCTCAAAATTATGCAAGTTGGTCAAAAATAACAAAAGATTTGGCAATTATATCTTAAGGCTTTGCACGGAAGACCAATGTTTGTGACATTATCACACCAAACGAATGGGAAGGGGAGGGTTACTGGCATTATTATAGGTCCAACAGGTTCGTGGGAACATGGCAATATTCCATCCCTGATTTAATCTCTTCGCATATATTGCCGTCACTGCCAAGCATCAGTGAGGATGATAAAAGAATTGGGCCAGCTTAATCTCTGCAACTTCATTCTGTTTACAGGACATGAACACTCGTAGCTGGAAAAGGTAGCACATATTTGGGAAGATCCACCAGGGAATGGATGGTCCTGGGTTTCTACCTGTTGGACTCTCACCGGCTACCCCAAAGGTGCTTTTTCCAAAAGGCAACCGGACTTTCTTGGTTTTTTTCTTTGCAAATCTTTTGCTTCCCATCCAGGAGCTTCTTCAGTTTTAACTTCTAGTTGTAACTTCTAAAAGCTTCTTGGATGAGAATCAATACATTTCCAAGAAAAAAAGTAAGAAAGCCCAGTTGCCTTTTGGAAAAAGCATCTTTGGGACAACCATGAGTTGGATGATTGAGAATCTCCATAGACATGTCACCTGCTGCATCCTCTCTATTTGTATTTATTAGTTTGTCAAACATGTACAAGATAGCAGGTATAAATATAAATATGGATATGAACAAAAGAAATGAATACAAATAGATGGGGCAGTAGGACAGGGACGGTAGGCACACTGGTGTGCTTATACCCCCCCCTTTATGGACCTCTTAAGAAATGGGTGAGGTCCATGGTAGACAGTTTGAGGTTGAAGCTGTGAGGGTTTGAGGCTGTAACAATGGAGTCAGGTAGAGCATTCCAGGCATTGACCACTCTGTTGCTGAAGATGTATTTTCTGCAATCAAGTTTGGAATGGTTTACTTTGAGTTTGTATCTACTGTTTGCCCGTGTATTATTGTGGTTGAAGCTGAAGTAGTCGTTGACAAGTAGGATGTTGTAGCAGATAATTTTGTGTACTACGCTTAGGTCAGACCTTAGTCGGCGTAGTTCTAGGTTGTCCAAGCCCAAAATTTCAAGCCTGGTGGCATAAGGAATTCTATTGTGAGCAGAGGAGTTGAGGATTCTTCTCATGAAATACCTCTGGACCAGCTCGATCGTATTAAAGTTCAATATACAGTGTGGATTCCAGACAGATGAGCTATATTCAAGAATTGGTCTAGCAAAGGTTTTGTATGCCCTAGTTAGCAATACAATGTTACCGGAGAAGAAGCTATGTAAAATTAGGTTAACAACTCTTAATGCCTTTTTTGCAATGTTGTAATAGTGGGCTCTGGCACTTAGACCATTTGAGATGAGTATTCTTAGCCCATCTCCCCGTGTTAGTGGAAAAAAATTGAATTATAAACAAATGCATATATTTAATGGCCGGAATCGCTTACCCCAGGCCAGGAATTCGCTCACACTGTCCAGTCATTCCAGCTATGAGATTTTTATGGACCATCATGACCCCTTTTGGCCTTCCTGTGGAGCCACTGGTATACATCACTAAGGCCATGTCTGTAGGAAGAGGGCGGCAGGGAGGGATGCTCACTAGATAAAGATAAGGAGGCAAAACAGTTAAATTAGAATTTTGAGAAGAAAATAAAACTGAGACTAAAACTAATAAAACGTTTTATACTGTGGGGGGAAAACAGCTAAGTGCAAACAGACTTGCAAACCAAGCAGAGCTAAGCCTTGTGGCTCACATTACAGTAAAATGTTGAAAATGGAGGGGGGGGAGGAAATGTGATCACTGTTGAGAAAAGAAGCTATGGGGCTTAGGTATTCAGTGGCTGTGTGATCAGGACACAGTTGTGCCACTTACATCCTTGTAGCATCATTGTGGTTTGTGTCGGACAGCAAAAATTCTTAAGATTTTTCCATTAAGTTGGAAGTTTCATCATCTATGAAAATCCTTGAATGGAGAAGGCCAAGGGTTATTTGTAAAAAAAACTGTATATTTACAGTTTTTCCCCGAATGCCATCACTCTGCTAAACAAATCATTCTCTCACCACTGTCAAACCATTCACTAAGGCTGCATTACTATTACTATTCATCTTCTCATTGTTCCTATCCCCCATCTCCTCCCACCTATGACTGTAGGACTATAACTTCGTTGCTTGTATCCTTACGATTTATAATGATTGTTTCCTGATTGCTTATTTGTACCCTGTGACTATCGTGAAGTGTTGTATCTTATGATTCTTGACGAATGTATCTTGTCTCTTTTTGTACACTGAGAGCATCTGCACCAAAGACAAATTCCTTGTGTCCAATTACACTTGGCCAATAAAGAGTTCTGTTTTGTTCTATTCTATTCTGTTCTATTCTATTCTATTCTATTCTACCCTATTCACTTCTAGTGCTGGCAAATGAGAATCAGCAGCTTATGATGGTGGTGGTGGTGGTGATGATGCACCTTGAAAGAACTCTCTCATTCCAGACAGTCTCAAAACACAAGGATGATGCACACCCTCGTGGCACAGCAAGATTACAGCTGCTGATAAGCTCTCTCTCTCTCTCTTGCTCATCAGTAGCCACACTCCACTTTGTTTCTCCAGGGAGATTAGAGACGGAATCTCAAAAGCTGCAGCTGCTCTTTCCGTGGGTTATGACATCCCCAACTTGTCTTTGAAGAAGACAGAGAAGCCCTTTGACTGGGGTCAGCTCCCTTTAAAATTCAGGGCAAATTTCTAGAGAAGCAGACTACAGGAGGTCCTCAATTTACAGCCTGGTAGTGACCGTTCAGTTACAGTGGAAACTAAAAAAAGTGACATGACCCATTTTTCACAGCTACGACCTTAATGAAGCATCCCCATGATTGAGTGATCAAGACTCAGGTGATTGGTACCTGGTTCATACTTATGATCGTGGCTGTGTCCCAAGGCCATGTGATCCCCTTTTGTGACCTTCTGACAAGTCAATGAGGAAGCCAGATTCACTTAACAATCGCGTGTCAGGCCTGGAAGCCATCTTTTACATTGGGCCTTCAGGCCTACTACATTTTCTGCTGTGGGAAAATGGGAGGGGGAATTATATGGAGTATGGGAGATATATAGTCTTAATAATATTCCTTTCTCAGAAAGTCAAGGACGTTTTGCCCTGAAGCTGTGATAGTATGACTGGGAAGCATCTCCATTTTTGGACAGTACCTGATTGGACCATGGGATGTGGGTGCTGGGCAGGGACTTGGACTTTCTTTTGGGTGGGGAAAATCTGGAAACTTTCAGATTCGGGTTTCCCCAAATGTATCAAAATGACATCTCTAATAAAATGGAACTTTGAGGAAACTCAAGACTCGGAGGGTTGTTACTTAGAAGCCTGACACCATGTTACTAACTTAATAATTGCAGTGATTCACTTAACAACTGTGGCAAAAAAGGTGGTAAAAGGGGCAAAACTCCCTTAACTAATGTCTCATTTAACAACAGATGTTTTGGGCTCAATTATGGTCATTAAGTCGAGGAGTTGGAACCCTGACATAAAGTTCAAGTCAACACCAGATAAGGATCAACGGAGTTCAAAGGGAGTTGAACTTGGACTGTTATCAGTTATCTGTGTTTTCTGGATTTGAATTTATGCAACAAACTCTGACACTACTTACAGTTTTCTGGTTTGGCTCCAAGTTCTTCTACTGCTTGCATGCTATGGATCTCCAGCCCTTTAGGATATTCTGCTTTATTGATAGTCTTATTATCCACATAAATGATGTATTTGAGGCAGGGAATTTTTGACAGTACATTCTGAGGAACAAAAATAGTTGAGAGTTGATTGTAGGAACCCAAGCAAAAATGTTCAATACATGGCATATTTACTTCTCATGATTGGGAAAGTTTGTTGTTGTAATAATATATTCTTCCTACTTCTGACTGTTCAAAAACCGTCGAAATGTGAGGAAATCTTATTTATACAGCTACAACATTTCCAAGGCAAAGAAGTTTCATGCAAAATAAAATGGCTGGTTTTCAAAATTAAATACAGAAATTATAGCTGCTGGGCAAGTTATTTGTCTGTGATGATTAATTTCTGACAATTTTCAAATAATTGTTAAGGGTATGACCATACATATTTTACAGTCTCATTGCAAATTACCACTGACTACACCTTTATAGTGTACTCAGAAATTCAGCCTAATGAACTTTAAAATGTTAATCTTCTTTAGTCAATAGAATGTATGATGTACTATACATAATGCAAATATTATTTTTAAAAAAATAAAATGTAGGCTTACTTTACAGATTAAATTATGTTAGGCCCCATTATTCTCTGTATCTTTTAGTAAAAGTCAGCTCTGATCTAATTTTACTTTGATCTAATATTTAATTTTACTATCATGCTTATAGAAAGATTTACCTTCAGTTTGCCTTCCAAAAGATCTAAGCTAGTGATTAGAAATGATGCTTCGGATTCATTTAATCCATAGGTTACCGCCTCTTCTCCAAGGGTTGCGTATAGTGTAACAACTATTTAAAAAGCAAGAAGTTAGTAAGTAGCTCAAAAACTAATTCAGCTGAAGCAATAAATATTCCACGTTCATTTTATGTTTCGTGTACAGAAGTCCTCAACATACAACAATTCATTTGTGACTGTTCAAAGTTACAACAGGACTGGAAAAAAAAGAGGGCTTATGACCATTTTTCACACTTATGACCGCTGCAGCATCCCTATAGTCATGTGATCAAAATTTGGATGGCTTGGCCTCTGGCATGTATTTATGATGGTTGCAATGTCCTGAGATCATATCAGGGTGAAATTCAGCAGGTTCTGGAGAACCGGCAGCAGAAACTTTGCGTAATTTGGACAACCAGCAAATACCACCTCTGGCTGGCCCCACCCCCATCTATTCTTTGCCTCCTGAGTCCCAGCTGATCAGGAGGGAATGGGGATTTTGCAGTAACTTTCCCCCAGGAATGGGGATTTTGCAAATTTTTAAAAGTATGTAAATACACTGTTACAACAGTGTAACTGTGGTAAGCTCACTTAACAACTTAGCAACAGAAAATTATGTCAAGGATTCCCTGTGTACCAACACTTTTAGAAGATGAACAACGTAAGAAGTAGAATACACTGTTACAACTGTAAAGATTTGTGCCCTAATAAATTCTTTGGTCTTAAAACAAATCATTTTGTTATTTCATGTTGTATATAGTTGAACAATATGTATAAACGTCGTCACTAATTCAACACAGGCACCAGTTTCTAAGATATCTTTGTGCTGGATGATGACATGCCACTGAGGGCAAGCAACTTTTAGGATGGTGACTCACTGCAGAGAATCAGGACTATGGCCCTTGTTTATAGGGGGTGAAATGCAGCACGGATACTCACGAGGAAAGTTGTAAAGGAAGCAAGACTGGGCGGCAATAAACCATTCAGTTCGCGTCTCGCAAAATACAGCCACGGTGCTCTTGGGCGGCAATCCAAGCGCCACTAACCCACTCCCAAAGTGCTTCACTTTCTGGTTAGTCTCTTCATAGCTCAGCCACCTATAGTTCCCTAGGATTAACTGGTCAAGATTAAACAGTTGATCAGTTAGCGTTAAAGGAAGGAGATCAAAACAAGAAAGACGACTTTAAAAACTAAACAGTTTAACCATCGCTGATATAAATCAATTTATATTCTGGATCAGTTTTCGTTATTGTTTAAGAAACTGTCCAAGCCACCTTAGATTTCCCTGTTCTGCTTCACACACTTGGTTCAATAAAAGGAATCCCTCCCCTGAAGCACTTACCGTATTTTTCAGAGTATAAGACACACCTTTTTCCCTCAAAAAAGAGGGTGAAAATCTGGGTGCATCTTATACGCTGAATACAGCATTTTTTGCCTCTTGAAACCCTGCCCCCTTTGCAAAAATGGCCGTGCATAACCTTTAGGAGGCTTCCAGAGTGCTCCTGGGGGCTGGGGAGGGCAGAAATGAGTGAAAGCAGGCTGTTTTTTGCTAGTTTTTGCCCCCCCCACCCCCCAGGAGCCCTCTACAAGCCTCCTAAAGCCTTTGTATGCCCTTTTTTTTTTTTTTT